GTTGGACGCGACGTGTCGGGTTGTCAGCTTCAACGTAAACTCACTGTCTCACGATGCGAGTTACGCGCGCGGGTCTTGAAGGAAGGTGACAATACGGCAAGACTTACCGCCAGTTGATTCACATCAGTCAGGGACGAGGACGCCGAAGAGCTTGAGGAATCATCCTCCTCGCTGACATCGGAGGTGCTTGCGGTAATCAGCTAGTGTAGCAGGACGCCATTTTTTTCGCGGCTCTTCTTTAGCGGCACCGTTACCGGGAGGGATGCGCGGGCAAACCTCGGTGAAACAGACGTTGAAAGACACGCGGTGGGTGGATTATCGTGGATAATGTAAAAAACGAAAGGGGAGAAAAAGGTAGCGAAAGAGTCACGGGTTCTCGTCGAGACGTTCTCCGCTACGACGTTCCGCAGCCATCTTGAATCCGTCAGCGGGGACGACGGCTGGCGAAGTGAGCGGACAGCGCCTACGCTCCTCCCCGCAAAATCGTACGTCAAACGGAGAACTGTCAACTCAACTGCTGACGGAGAGATTCTAAACTCCGTAAAAAGAAAAAAATGAGAGAAAAAAAATGATGGTCTAGTGATAACGTAGGAACTTTTAGGAACCTCCCTCCCTCTCAGCCTCGTTTCAGGACGGTTTCTATTTGACAGCGCAGCCAATCGCAGACGAAAATTCCCCGGGAACTGTCCACATTGGTTACTAACAAGAACCAATCGGAACTCGAACGAAAAGGCGGCTTTTTTAATATAAAAAAATGCGCGGAAACACCGACGAGATAGGGCTATGGCAGAGAACGAGACGTAACGAGACGTAAGTTCCGTAGTCGTAACGTAAGGTAAGGCAGAGAAAAACGTAGCTGTCGTAGTCGTGACTGGTCTGGAATGGTCGGTAAAGTGTGTCAGAGCGACGAGGTGAGTAATATTAATGCACGTTTATACGTCTTAATAGTTAATAAGGAAATATATACACACTAAAACAAAATAAAAATAGATTTATTTTTAAAGATATAATGATATTTGTTTCCACCTCCTGAAATAATCATAATAGTACGTAATTATTATTTTAGAGGTTAACCAATATTTTTCGAAGTATGTATGTACATTGTTAATTACTAACAAAAAATGTCCTTAACACATTTTTAATCTATTTTTATTTTGTTTTAGTGTGTATATATTTCCTTATTAACTATTAAGACGTATAAACGTGCATTAATATTACTCACCTCGTCGCTCTGACACACTTTACCGACCATTCCAGACCAGTCACGACTACGACAGCTACGTTTTTCTCTGCCTTACCTTACGTTACGACTACGGAACTTACGTCTCGTTACGTCTCGTTCTCTGCCATAGCCCT